GGATCAATGAGATAATATCTGTTTACATAAAAGTGCTTAGCATAGTGCATGGCACATAGTAGGTGCTATGTAAATGCATATTCCCTTCCCTGTTGCTGAACAAATTTGAGAAAGCCTTCACTGCAGAGCTCTTCCAAACCATCTCATCCTTCCTCAAACATCCCATCTCCACTCCCTCAGCCTCAACTGAGAACCTTGCCTCCCATTTCACCGAAAACATTAGGGTCATTGGCTGTAAGAGCCCCTTCTTACCCCTTCCCCCTTACCTCACATCAGCCAGATGCCTTTTGGCACCATCTCATCCTTTATCCCTGTCTCACATGAAGAGGTGACCTTTCTCCTTGCCAAAGTAAACTGTGCCACGTGTGCAAGTGATCCCATTCTGTCCTGTATTCTTGGCAGATTGACCTTTCTGTCATCCCCATTCTCTCATCTTCAGTCTCTTCCTACCTATTGGCTGCCTCCCCACTGCCTACAAACATGGCCATGTCTCCTTCATCCTCAAAACCCCCTCACTTGATACATCCGTCCCTGTTAACTACTGTCCCATCTCTCACCTTCTTCCCTGGGCAGCGAAATTCTTTGAGAACGCCACTAACAATAGACACCTGCACTTCCTCCCCTCACTTCACTTCTCTCTGCAGTCTGGCTTCCGACCTCATCACGCAGCTGAAACTGCTCTCTCTAAAGTTCCCCTAATTACCAAGGCGAATGGCCTTTTTTCCAACCTTTATCCTTCCTGACTTCTCTTCAGTGTCTGACAGCGAGGATCATCCTCTTCTTTTCCATTAACTGCCTCCCTCTCGGTCTCCATGACACTCATTATCTTGATTCTCCTCCAACCTGACGGCTCCTTTCCTGGACCTTCATCCAGGTGACAACTGTAGTTGTAGTCATCCCCCAAGGCTCTGTCCTGAGTCCTCTTCTCTTCCTCCAAACCATTTCACCTGGCAATCTCATCAGCTCTGGTGGATGTAATTACCTCCTCTATGCTGATGATTTATCTGGCTCTAACCTCTCTCCTAAGCTCAGCATCTCCAACTCCCTATTAGATATCTCAAGCTGGATGTCAGATAGACATTTTAAAATCAACACGTCCAAGGCTAAATTCATTATAGTTCTTTCCCCTCAAAATCTCCCCATTCCTAACTCCCCTATTACTATTGAGGGAACCCACATTGTCCCAGTCACCCAGATTTACAATTTAGGTGTTATCCTCCACTTCAGACTCTCTCCTTGCCTCCCTCTCTCTATCCAGTCTTTTGCCAAGTTCTCTCATTTCTACCTTTGTAACTCTTTGTATCCTCTTCTGTCTTCTGACATTGTTGCCACCTGCTACATGCTCAGCATCCCAGCCCTGGACTATTGCAATAGCCTTTAAGTTGGTCTTTAGAATACCCTCTATTCAACTGTCAAATTAATCTTCCTAAAGCAAAGATCTGTCTGTCTTTTCTCTCTCTCTTCTCTTTCTCTGTCTTCTCTCTCTCTCTCTCTCTCTCTCTCTCTCTCTCTCTCTCTCTCTCTCTCTCCCTCTCTCTCTCTCTCTCTCCCTCCCTCCCTCCCTCTCTCTCTCTCTCTCTCTCTCTCTCTCTCTCTCTCTCTCTCTCTCTCTCTCCCTCCCTCCCTCCCTCCCTCTCTCTCTCTCTCTCTCTCTCTCTCTCTCTCTCTCTCTCTCTCTCTCTCCCTCCCTCCTCCCTCTCTCTCTCTCTCTCTCTCTCTCTCTCTCTCTCTCTCTCTCTCTCTCTCTCTCTCTCTCTTCTCTCTCTCTCTATCTTTTCTCTCTCTGTCTCCTCTCTCTGTCTTTTCACTCTGTCTCTTCTCTCTCTCTTTCTCTCTCCTCTCTGTCTCTGTCTCTCTCCCTGTCTCCCTCCTCCTTCCCCCCCCACCACATAGTCTGCATCCCGTGACCCTGGCCTCCTCACTGCTCCTGGAATAAGACAGCCACCTCCTGGCTCCAGGCATTTTCTCAGGTTGTTTCCCATGTCTACAATGCTCTTACTCCTCCTCTCCACCTCTTGGCTTCCTTCATGTCCCAGGTAAAATCCCACCCTCTGAGACCTGTTTAGGACCTTAGCTTGAAAATGCCAAGGATCCTCACTGCATCCAAAGCACATCTCCAGTCATATTGATCTGTATTTGGCCATTGGGCCCAGATGGCTCTGGAGGTGAAAGTGAGGCTGGTGACTTTGCACAACCCTCCCTCACTTAAATCCAATTCACTTATGTGTTGGGACATCACCTTCCTGATGTCATGGTTCTCTTCCAGAATGAAGGATAAACAGCAACCTCTGTGAGTAGAGAAGGAGCTGCCCACTGAGGACCAAATTGGAACTGACCAGTTGGGAAACACAGCTTCCTTTCTTTCTTCCTTTCTTCCTTTCTTTCTTCCTTTCTTCCTTTCTTTCTTCCTTTCTTTCTTTCTTTCTTTCTTTCTTTCTTTCTTTCTTTCTTTCTTTCTTTCTTTCTTTCTTTCTTTCTTTCTTTCTTTCTTTCTTTCTTTCTTTCTTCTTTCTTCCTTCCTTCCTTCCTTCCTTCCTTCCTTCCTTCCTTCCTTCCTTCCTTCCTTCCTTCCTTCCTTTCCCTCTGTCCACATAGGGTATCACATCCTTACCTCACTTAAATCCAATTCACTTGCATGTCCTGGCATCACCTTCCTGACGTCATGGTCCTCTTCCAGAACAAAGAGCAAACAGCAGCAGTGGCAAAATCCCACCCTCTACAAGAAGCCAGGAAAACCTGGCTTCGAATCGTGCATATGAGCATGTGTGTCACTTAATATCTCAGTTCTCTAGGCTAAGTCACAAGCCTTTTTTAAAAAAAGTATCTACTGTTTGTCAGGAAATATGCTAAGCACAGGAGATCCAAAGAAAGGTAAAATTAGTTATCACCTTCCAGGCACTCACAGCCTAATGGGAAGAGGATGTGCAAACTATATACAAAGAAGATGTAAAGGAGAAGAGGTGGAGAGAATCTCAGTGAGAAGATGCCAGCATGAAGGGGCTTGGGAAAGACTTCTAGGCACCTTTCTAAGGTGCTAAGCTGAAGAGAAAGTGAAGACTTACCCTGGTAGAGGAAATGTCTTCATTGGGAAAGTGCCTAGGTCAGCGAAATTCCAAATCTAATCCCTATCCCCAAAATTTCGGACTCCAGGCATGATCTGAGAAGGACAGAGGACAACAGTGACATCAGCATCTCTCTCCTTTCCTTTCTCTAAACTGATAGAGGTACGGACTTCTTGGAGGAGCTGCCTCTGCCTCCAGGCCCCAGCACAGAAGTTCTACCATCTGTTTTTAGGTGTCCCAAGTGAGTGTCTTTAGATCCTGCATAGTGGAGCCCACCTAGTGCTTAACCAGGTCAGAACAATGGTTTTTAAAAGTGCAGGAAGGGCTTGTGAAATGTTACTGCCTTGGGAACACATTTACACTCTGATCAAAAGCAGGTTTTCTCACTCCCCAGTCCTTCATGATGGCCAGAGGGATATGGAGTCAGGAAGAGTAGGTTTGAGTCCGAGCTCATTTTACTAGCTGTGTGACCCTGGGCAAGTCACTTAGTTGCAGTCATGGATAGTAAGACTTATAATGCCAGCCTTATGAAATGCTACTGAGCCAAAGTTATTCCTTCTATGATGTGTGAGCTTAGAGGGGGCTAGGAATGCTTCCTCCACCTAACATTTTACCTAGCAGCCTCTCCCAGGGGCCACTCTCTGGAATGTTACCACCAGTTCCTTTGAATTAGAGGAATACCCCTTTTTAGTGGTAACTACCCCTTTGAGGGGTGGTCCATTAAGACATGTACACCGTAGCACAAATTAACCAACAATAAGCAGAAAGGAAAAAGAGAACATAGAGCAAATGAGGTATAGAAAACGTAAGTGGGGATCCTGAGGAGAGTGGGCTGAGAGGTTAACTGTATGAGACAGGTCTAATAAGGGGACCCTGATGAGGCTCTGACCAGCTAAGAGTACCAGGTACTGGGAAGGATGGGGCTGTATGCAATGGCAAAGGCCATTGGCATGGGAACTGAGAGGGTGCCAACCACCCACACCCTTCTATGGAGCACCTGCCTTGTGCTTGACTGGATGGTGCACCCTACACGCACTCGAGTATCGTAAAGGATGTTCTTTATTGACCACTTTCCTCATTTCATGGTGTTGCAGGGAGACTGCTGGGCTTGGGGTCAAGAAGATCTGGGTTCCAATTCCACTTCAGGTGCTGTCTAGTAGCATGACCTTGGACAAGTCACTCTCCTCATCCCTTTTAGCCCAGATTTCTCAACTCTAGAATGGAGATAAAAATGTGGCACTTTGGGACGTTATTAACAACAGAGTTATTCTGAGGATGCTGGGAAAGTATAACAGCAAACCTTAGAGAAACAACCTCCTTCAGAGCTAACATTTGGGTAGCACTCTATGTCTGGTGCCTTATTCAATTCATTATCAATAATATTCCTGCAATTTCTACTCTAGATTTGACATGCCAAGTTTTGGGAACACACCCAAAGAGAGGTGGCTGAGTGTGTCTGCCCTGGCATTTCCCTGGTTTTCCCTCCATGCAGATTTCAGCAGGAGAGAGACCGGACTCAGGACTGTCTACCACATTCCCTTGGCCCAGCACTTAGATTGAGACAGTGCAGATGAGCCCAGTTTTTATTATGTTCTACTAGCCTGTCACGGGGAGCAGAAACTGCTGGCTTTTCATCTGATGACCCAGAGGAAGCATTTGCACACCCAGCACTTTTGGTACAATGGGGTACGTGTGTGGACAAGGGCACATGTAAGTTTTAGAAGGCTTTCACTGACCTGCTCCATCTTTGCACATGGTCTCTGAGGGGTGAATGGGAAATCAAGATTGGGCTCAAAGCTGACACCCATGAAGAACTCCACCCTGCTGCCTACACTGGGTAAGTAAAACGATTCACCACGTTTCAGATGCTTCTTATTTCAAATCAAATTCTTAGCAGGTGCGAGCAAACATTTGAGGCTCATGGCTGTGTTCTTGTAAATGTGCTCATGGTTTTCTTTTCACTTTAAAACTTTCATTAATTATAGCAAATGTAATCAATTTACTCTGTTGAATAATTAAAGTGGAAAAACATAATGTGTTTAATGAAGGGCTGTTTACTTTACAACTGTGTGTGTGTGTGTGTGTGTGTGTGTGTGTGTTTTCCTTCCTCTCTCTCTTTCTCTCTCTCTCTCTCTTTCTCCCTCTCTCTCTCTCTCTCTGTCTCCTCTCTCTCTCTTTTTCTTCTCTGTCTCTCTGTCTCTCTCTCTGTCTCTCTCTCTGTCTCTTTGATAAATTAAAACTGCAAAAGCTTTTAATTGCTGCTGACGGAGATGTACTTCCCCTGAGTAATTGGTTTGGGGCATTATTAACATGCCTCGTTTGTTGACGAGTACTTCGACTTTATTCCTATGCAGTAGACCTTATAATAGATTGTACAATTAACTTATTCCAGTTGAAAGAATCAAGTGGGAGCGGTTTTTAGGGGAAATCCAATTGGAATTAAGGGGAGAGCTTGTTAATTTCTCGCAGTTTACGACAATGCGCAGTCCCCTGAATAAATCTGTCATTCTCTAAAATCTCTTGTTCACAGTACGCAGTAATGATGAGAGAAGGCAACGATATCAAAGACTGTGGAAATAAAGAGAAATTGAGTGAAATCGTAGGCACCAGACAAATTAGGAGAGAAAAGAGACGTTTAGGTAGGTCGCCAATAAAGCTTCACTCTCAAAAGCTGGCTCGGTCGGGAAAAGAAGCCATCTCTCTCTGGGTTGGAAACATTGCAACGTTAACATCATCAGTCTGAAATTACGCAGTGCCGCTGGGTGTGGGGGGATTTGATTAAGTAAAATGAATGGGGTTTTTTTCATTCATTTGTTCCTTGTGTAATGATGTGCCGCAAAAACAGAATTTTTCTAATTTAAATGTCACTAAGCAATTTGGCCTGTTTTCCAAAGGCTCTCTCGGAGTGGTTTCTTGTTGCCTAATTGAATTGAATATTAAAAATACCTTGTTAGTGTCTATTTAGAGCAACGACTGTAAAATGTCATCTCTTGTTCTGTTTTCACTAGTGATTCCTGCTTCCTTTCATTTGTGAGATTAAATTGCAAAGCATGGGGTTTAGGGTGAAGTGAACTCCCCAATCCAAAGAGTCTCACATTTCTGAAGAGCCTGCATAGCATCCATTGCTTAAGGGGGAAGGCTTCTCTTCATGATGGATTTTCAAAGGGTACTGAATGCAACAGAAACACTTTCCAGTTGACAATCCCAGAGAATTTTACAAATGTGAATTCCTGCAGGGCTCCCACCCAGGGAGATAAATGGGCCAGCCACTTTGGTGACTGACCATGGCCTTCGAGGCTAACACTTTAATCAGGTCTCTCCCTGCAGTTCAGAGCTGGGACTTTTCTTTGGAGATCTGTTGGAGTTCAAGAGAGTGGAGGCAGAAGCATGATCTTAGTGGCCACAAGGAAATGGAGGGAGAAAAAAAGCCCCTTTGCTTAATTATTAACGAAAATATGCTTCAAGCTCTCAATTCAGTCACTTCCATTTAAATTGAAGGCTCCAGCTGCCAAAGTGGATTCTGTTTCCTATTTCACTTGAGGGCAAACTGTTTATTTTCTCTCCATAACTGAAAATGCCTTTAAATTAAAAACCAGGCTGTTACCTGGGTCTGGGCTGTGTCCTTGACTTTCTCTGACAGCCCTCGACACCGAGCTGAGTGTAGGGAGGGCTACGGAGAGATAGAGACAGAGACACCCAGAAAAAGAGAGACAGAGGGAGAGACAGAAAGAGGGACAAGAGACAGAGACACGAGAAACACAGAGAGGCAGAGAGAGATCCCAGTCACTAGAAACTGACTTTAGTTCTTCTCTTGTCAGAGAGTACCATCCACACAGTTTCCAAACGTGTGGTGTAAGGGAAATTTTCAAAAAATTATCAATGGAATTCAACCTTTTCTGCCTCTTGGAAGGTTCTGTGCTATTAAATTACGGCACGGTGATCGGTTTTTGTGCAATTATTACAAGGTCATGTTCTTAAACTATAGCGTGATATGGTGGGAAGTACACTGTCCTTGAAGCAAGACTTGGGTTCCGATTCTGGCTCTGATTCTTACTAGCTCTTTGACCCTGGCTAGGTCACTTCACCCTGATGAGTCTTAGTGTCCTGTTCTGTAAAATGAGAAGAATTATGCCCACATTCCCCATGCCACAGGCTTATTGTGACAGAAGCCTCGGGCTAGAAATGTGAGCCATACTTCCTAGGTCTGCAATTTGCCCTTTGGGCATTCTGTTCCACTCAATGTTCAAGAGGCAGATTCCTGAGCTAGAAACAGGTTCCTTGCCCTTCATTCTCCTTGATAACGATTGACGGTGCACATGAGTGTTTGATGTTTCCAAAGAGCTTTACACAAATTCTCTCCTGCAAAGTAGATGTTAGAAGTATTATTATTGTTCCCAGTTTACAGATGAAGAAACTGCCTCCTCAGTGCTTACTGAGTTCCTGGACCATTATAAGAAAATGCTTGATGATTGTTGCTTGTTTGATTAAGAGATAAAGTGACTTGCCTGGGAATGTTGCAGCTAGAAAGTATTTGAAGCAGGATTTGAACTCAGGTGCTGAATCCTGAGCTATATGCACTGTTGGAAAACTGGGCCTTGCTCCATGCTGAAATGAACCCATTGGTGACCACGGAAGAGAAGCACAAAGGACAAGGCTTTGAATGTGGCTTCTAACAACTACAGAGCCTGGTGGCCCCCCACCCCCAGGTTATGTGCGCCTCTCTGGGAGGGTCCTGAGGGCCCTTCCTGGGATCCAGAGGAGCCTGCTTCAGACCTCCGGGGTGCCCTCGGCAGTGGTATAGGAACACCACCAGCTGGGCTCTCAAATCCTTTTCCACTCCTGTGAGGCAGGAGCCACCCGGTTGTCCTTTGCGTAGCAGAAATAAACCAAGTGTGTCTTTGACAAGATTTACATGGAAATGTCTCTCATGGTTTGGTTGTGTGTGTTTTAGGGGCAACTTTGAACTCCCTCCTGGGGCCAAGAGTTTTGGTTTATGTCAGCTGTGCTCTTTCTATATGGGTAAGATGAAGTCAAATAACGATTCTTGTGTTTTGAATGATCAAGAGAGCTACGAGGTTGAGAATAACCAGAATTTCACAAACAATCTTGAGGTTGGGTCATTTCAGAATGTTTTAGGATCTTAGATTTCGAGAGGATGGGATCTTTGAGGTCACATCCAACCCCTTCACTTTATAGATGAGGAAACCAAGGCCCGGGGAAGGGAGCTGACCTGCCCACCCCTAGAACCATAGATCTAAAATGGGAAGGACACTCAGAGGCCACCTGCTCCAACCCCTTCATTTTACAGATGGAGAAACTGAGGCCCAGGGAGGGAAGCGATAGGAACCCAGGTCCCCTGACTCCAAATCCACTCTTCTTTCTTCCTCACTGCACTGGGTAGATGACAGCTGGCTGTATCGTAGGAAAATGTTGTCCTGCCTTCATAATTCTGGAAAACCCCAGCAAGATGGTCTGTCCCCACTGTTGATATATCTTATTCACAATTTAATTTCATTGGTCCCAGTAGGAAGAACAATCCCCAACCTTGAACTCTTTTTTTTCCTTTTGCCCTTTGCTGCCTTGTAGGGAGATAGAATGTGGCACTTTGCTCTGTCTGTGTTCCTGATAGAGTTATATGGACGCAACCTTCTCCTGACAGCAGTTTTTGGCTTAGTGGTGGCTGGCTCAGTGCTGGTGTTTGGGGTTTTAATTGGAGACTGGATTGACAGAAAACCGAGAAACAAAGGTAATTCATTGTCCATTGGCTAACATGGTGCCTGTCCATGGTAGCTGTTTAACAAATAATAGCTAACCCTAACATAGCACTTCAACATGTGCTAAACATTTTACAAGAATGATCTCCTTTGGTCCTCACAACAACCCTAGGAGGTGCTGTTATTATTTGCATTTTCCATGTGACTTAACTGAGGTTAAGACATGATTGATCGATTGATGATAATAATAGCTAGCACTTTTATATGCTTTAAGGGGTGCAAAACGCTTTTCCTATATTGTCTCATTAGGTCTTCACAATATTACTCTTATTTTGCAGATGAGGAAACTGAGGCTGAGAGAGGTTATGTGAATGGTTCAAGGTCACACAGCTAAATAAGTGTATGAGGCAAGATTTGAAGTGACATCTTCCTGATTCCTAGGTCCACATTCTATCCACTGTGCCCCTAGCTACCTTCAGGGTACCATGACTTTGGGTTCCAATGCAATTTAATCTAATAAACATTTAGTAGGTACCTACGGCGGGCCAGACATTGTGCTGCTCTCTGGGGATACGAAAAGAGACAGAAGGCAAGGAACTCACCATCTAACAGAGCTCCGAGTTTGTTGGCAGTCACCCAAAGGGCAATGGAGAAATGTGAGCATGGTGTGATTAGACTAATTCATTACCAATAAGAATTGTAAGACATATCAAAGCGATATCTGACCAAAGCCTGGAAAAGAAGATGCACTGGTCATCTAGCAAGCGATGAGTGACAGAAAAACGGACTGCCTGAGTATTCCATTGGTATCCACAGAAAGCCTTCTATGTGCTGGGTAGGTCTCCCATCAAGGACTTAAGGGAAGACGTGGACAAGAGTCCTAAGAGACAAAAAGGCTCCCATAAGCTGCTATCTGCACTTTTGGATGGAGTACTCACATTGATATTCCAGAGCCACTCATATTTTGAGATATGCACTTATGTTATTGTAATTCATCAGATAAACTCAGATTTGTTTCTGGACTTATCTAATTAAACATAGATCTCCCTAGAGCTTTTGGCCACTGATTCTCTCTCTCTCACCCTCTTCTTAAATGACCTAGTCAATCCATCTATCAGTATTTACAGAAGAGAATCAATTCCCTGCCATATAACCTAATGGTGCCTGAGAATACAAAGATAAAAGTTAAGTAGTGCCTGCCCTGAAGAAGCTTATGTTCCATTAGAAGTAACAAATAGACACAGATATACAAATATATGCAAAGTAAATACAAAGAAAATGTAAAGTCAGTTGAGGGGGGTTGAGAGTGGTCCGAGATGTGGGACACCTTCAGCCTTTCCTTCTTCCCTACTGGAAGTTAGTCAGCCCTGTGGCTTCAGGGTGCCGGCAGTATGGAGATGGTCCATTCTGAAGAGTTAGCTGATTTGCATCTCTAATTGGTCAGTTATGTGCGCACTCTCTTCTTCCTTGTTTCTTTGCCTCTCTATCATCATCACTGAGAAAGCAGAAGACTTGAGAATTATTTTGCCATTTTCTTTTGTTGCCTGGATTTCCTGGTCAAAGAGTTCATCACCTCAGAGCCATCTTACCGGTTATGAGACCCTCCATTGTCAGACTAAGTTCATGCAAACCATCCTATTTCTATAATCTAAATTGTCTTTCATAATCTCCTCTAGCCTTAATCTGGTTAGGAATTTTGGTCTAGTCAGAGTGTTGAAAGATATGACCTTCCATTATCCCCTAATATCTGGTATAGGTTATTGATTCATTTAGAATGGATTGTGGGATATGGTACTAGATGCTGGTCTGAACAGTGGACGTGTATTTCTGCTGCATCTACTTCATGAAAATATAACCTTGTTGGATTACAGTGTAACAGATGTGGATCAAAATGTTGCTTGGGGCAGGCAGAGGGATCTGGTTAAATGTGTATGCCTATGTTACATGGCAGGGAATTGGTTCTCTTTGGTAAAGACCCGGAGGACTGTTCTGAGCAGGTTATCTCCTTTACCACCAGTGGCCCATGCATCCCTGTTCCTTCAGAACTCCTCGGTCGCTGCCTGCTGCGTCGTGCTGATGTTGGTGTTCTCCTACCAAAGCGAGCTTGAAGGCATCTGGCAGGGCTGGCTCATGGTATGTGCGTGCGCGTCTTCCTCTTGCGCAATGAAATGACACTTCAGAGAGCCCAGCTGTGTCAGTGGCACTTGCCTGTTCTGTAGCATTCTGGGGATTTGGGTTTTAAACCTAGCTAGTCTTTCTTTAGTATTACTTTTTACCTTGAAGCTGTGAATCAGACCCTAAATCACAGACATGCAAAGACAACAGAATTGTGGGCTCCTGTCTGCAGGACCAAAATTAGCATCAGATCTGGCACTGATGGAGTGGGCAGGAAGAAAGCTCATCAAGTCAACGGAACAGTACTTTCTGCCGCCCCCTAAGTCGAAGCTGTCACTAGGAGGACTTGCCGTTCATGCTGGCTTGGGTAGGAGTGTCAGCTAAAAAACCAGAGAAAGCATTTGCCTATGGAAGCCTATTCTTGGATTGCAAACTCTGCTTTCCAACCCCTACCCTTAGGTGGCCTGCTATGTGGCAGTGATTATCTTAGCAGATCTGGCCAACCTGGCCAGCACAGCCCTGACCATCACCATTCAGAGAGACTGGATCGTGGTCATCACTGGGGACAATAGAAGCCAGCTGGCTGGTAAGTCCAAGCCAATGCTTCACTCACAGATGGGTCACCACAAAAATACTTTATTGCCTTGGGCAACAGAAATTAAGGACTGCCTAGGCTCTTAATGAATTCTTCCCCAAAAAGGATGATGAGCAAATTCAGTAGAGCCCACGAGGAAAATCTGTGGCTGTGGGAGCTATAACTAGGGCAGGGTGACTGGACCTCTACTAAGAGTGCTGAAATGTAGTGAGGAAGAGGGGGGCAGACTGTGGTTTCCTAGGTATAGGGGATTCCTGTTGAGAAAATTCCCTCAGTTAATTCAGGCCACACCTTACAGTCTAAAAAAAATTTGCCGAGGGTCTTGAGAAGCCCTAAGTGACTCATCTAGAGTCACACAGTTAGTATATGTTACAGACAGTACTTGAACCTAGGACTTCCTAGCTCTGAGGCCAGCTCTTTCTCAGCTACCCCATGCCACCTCTTTAGCCCCCAGTTATCAAGAATAACTCATTCAAATAGAACGCAAAAAAGGCAGAAACCCGAAAACATGTTCCCTATTCTCAAGGACCTCACATTCTCATTAGAGAAAAAACATGCAAAGAACCATACAGACAAGATGTATAGGAAATAGATGGGAGGGAATTTCAGAGAGAAGATATTAGCACCAGGAAAGACCTCCTATGGAAAGATGAATTCGAGCTGTGTATGGAAAGAAACCAGAAAGCTAGGAGGTGGCAATGAGGAGACAGGGCATGGCAGGCATGAGACACAGCCAGTGCAAAGGTGTGGAGATGGGAGATGGAGTGTTGTGTTTGAGAAACTGGAACTAGATGAGTGTGGAGTGCTGGAGTTTGTGGAGGATGTAAAGCTGAGAAGGTAGGAGAGTACCGGTTGTAAAGAACTTTAAATACCAGATGACTTTATAGTTGATCCTGAAAATAACAGGGAGGTAGAGGGATGACATGATTAAACTCTTGATTTAGAAAATCCCTTTGGCAGCTGAGTGCAGGATGAATTGGAGGGGACTGGATGACTTTAACCTCTAATGTTCCATCCTGATCTCGATCTATGATTCAAAGGCTACTGACCAAATACAAGGCATTTCCCACTACGCAAGGCTGGCCCTTTTTTGCTGGTCCTAGCTTTTAAGCTACACTAAGGTGATGCACACTGTGGTTGGGAGTATTTAACTTGCTTGTATTTGTATTTTCACATCATGTCAAGCATTGTGATGAAGACAGTTGACCAAGGGTCGTGATACCTGGAATTCGCTCCCGTCTCTGCCACTAACTAGTTATATGCTCAAGTCCCCTTTCTGAGCCTCAGTTTTCTCCTCCATAAAAACGGAGAATGGTACTTGACCATCCCTGTGCTCTACACGCCTCTGATGAATCAATAGTTTGGCACAGACCTTGAGCACTAGAAGGGACCCTCAATATCTTAAATGATTCTTGGCCATTGGGGATGGGGATCTCAGCTTACTGCACAGTGAAACGTTTTGGTTTACTTTTCTTTCTAGGCATGAACGCAACGATTCGAAGGATGGACCAAGTCATCAACATCTTTGCCCCCCTCTCTGTGGGACAGGTGATGACATGGGCATCTAACGTCATTGGTTGTGGCTTCATCCTGGGATGGAACTTGGTGTCTCTGCTGGTGGAGTTCCTCTTCCCGTCTAAGTTTATCAGCTAGTCCCTCAGTTGGCCGCAAAACCCCGGAGGTGCACAGGGGACAGCTTCCTAAAAAGGCAACTGGAGCTCATCAGCTCTCGAGGCAATTTTCACTTCACTGTGGTTCCTGACTTGGCCTTCTTCCTTAGCTTTTGTCATTCCATCGGCTTCTACTTTCTGTCCCTCGAGAGATATTCACTCTCAACTTCCCATCTGAAAATGTGACATTTTCTAAGTAGATTTTGATTTATATCGTTTGTTTTTACAGCACCTACATTTCCCCTGTATCCCTCTCTCACACCCTCCCAATAAATCATTGTTTATTTAAAAAACAAAAAGGATTTAAAAAAGACAAAAAAGGAAGACAGAAAATTCAACAACAACAAAAAACCCCTCTGCCATAGTATGTAACATTACACACCTATGGACCTCCTCCCCCACCTGCGCAAAGGAGTTGTGGAGGGGACTCCCTTTATCTTTTCTTTGGGACCAAGCTTATTCTTTGCAATTTTGCTTAGTATATTCATTTTAGATTGTTTTGTGGTTGTTGTTATTTTCAGTGTTGAAGCCATTGTACATGTTATTTTCCTGAGTCTGTTTACTTCACTTTGCATCAGTTCATGCAAGCTTTCCAGCTTCTTTGTTTTCATCATGTCCACTATTTCTCACAGTAATATTCCATTATATTTATGGCCCATGACTTGTTACTGCCATTCCCCAATGTATGGGCATGTTTGTTTCCAGTTCTTCACCATCATAAAAAAGTGCCAATATTTTGGTGTCTATGAGACTTTTTTCCCCAATGACTTCCTGGGGCACATACCTAGCAGTGGGATCTTTGAGTCAGAAGAGTGTTTTAGAAAATGTAGCTTTTGAGAGTAATTATTTCTACAGAAGTTCCCACCTGCTTGCTTAGGAAGTACTCAATGGGGTACCAGGGAGGAAACAAAACTGATCCTTCCCCACTTCATAGGGATCTATCAATCAATCAGGTGACAGGTATTAATTAAGCTCTTTCAAGAATTTAATAATCCCAACTCATGCCTTTACATTCTAATGGAGGAGACAACAAGTATACATAAAGTACATACAGCATAAATATTAAGAGAGTACATTCGAAGTATTTTAATACAACATGATTGGGGGGGCAATGGGGGATCAGGACAAGCTTTATGTTGAAAATGGTGCTTGGGCTGCGTCTTAAAGGAAGAGAGAAACTCTCTGAGGCAGAGATAAAGGGGAGCATGTTCCAGGTATGGGGGATGATTGATACAAAGACCAAACAAAAATTTTTCCAGAAATGGAAACGTATTGTTGTTGTTCAGTCATTTTCAGTTATATCTGACTCTTCATGACCCCATTTGGGGTTTTCTTGGCAAATATACTGGAGTGGTTTGTCATTTCCTTCTCCAGCTCATTTTATAGATGAGGAAACTGAGGCAAACAAGGTTAAGTGACTTGCTAGTAAGTGTCTGAGGCTGGATTTGAATTCAAGAAGAGAAGTCTTCCTGACTCCAGACCAGCCTCATTATAGCACAGTGCAACATATTGTGTTCAAATGCAAGTCCACTAATCTCTATAACAGGAATAGTTTGTGTTTACAGAAAATGGCAACATCATTATTCTCACTTTCTGTAACTACCAAAAAAAGGTGCCCCTTCCCTCCCTCCTTCCTTCCTTCCTTCCTTCCTTCCTTCCTTCCTTCCTTCCTTCCTTCCTTCCTTCCTTCCTTCCTTCCTTCCTTCCTTCCTTCTCTTTTTCTCAAAGTGTTGCTGGCAATGATGATCCTGGCTGCTTCCTATAGCCGTACTTTCTATGTTCAAAAGCAATATGGATTGTCTCCAGGGGTAGAGACTTCTTTGTGACTGGAAGGACTTTAGTTGAGACCGCTTGTGAGGGATGCTATGGGATTTGGAGAGGGATTGGACTAGGTGACACTAGTCCCTCCTTTCAATACAATGGAAGCTTCTTTAGGTCAGAGCAGTTTTGTTGGGCAGTTTTGTCTTTTGTGTCCTCAGTTTCTTTTTTTTTTAATTTATTTTTTAATATAAATTTATTTATTTTTAGTTTTCAATATTCACTTCCACAAGTTTTTGAGTTCCAAATTTCTCACCCCTCCCCCCACCCCAAGATGGCATGCATTCTGAATACCCCTTCCCCTGGTCTGCCTTCTCTTCTATCTCTCCCCCTCCCTTCTCTTATCCCCTTCCCCTTCTATTTTCCTGTAGAGCAGGATAGACTTCTGTACCCCATTTCCTGTATTTCTTATTTCCCAGTGCATGTGAAAACATTTTTTTAAAACATGTTTTTAAAACTTTAGTTCAAATTTTCTCCCTTCCTCCCTCCCCACCCACCCTCATTGAAAAGGCAAGCAACTCAATATAGGCTGTACATGTGCAGTCATGCAAAACACTTCCTTAGTAGACATGTTGTGAAAAACTAACTTTATTTCCCTTAATCCTATCCTGCCCTCCCATTTATTCTATTCTTTCTTTTGACCCTGTCCCTCCTCAGAAGTATTTGCTTCTGATTCCCCTTTCCCAATCTGCCCTCCTCTCTATCACCCCCTGCTCTCTTGTCCCCTTCTCCCCCTATTTTCCTGTAGGGTAAGACAGATTTCCATACCCAATTGAATGTGTATGTTATTCCCTCCTTAAGCCAAATCCTATGAGAATAAGATTCCTCATTCCCTCTCACCTTCCCCTGTTTCCCCTCCACTGTAAGAGACTTTTCTTTTTTTTTTTTTGTGAGATAATTTACCCCATTCTACCTCTCCCTTTCTTCTCGAGTATCATCCTCTCTCATCCCTTAATTTTATTCTCCAGATATGACCCCTTAATCTTCAACTCACCCTGTGCCCTCTATCTATCTATCTATCTATCTATATATCTATATATATATACATCATACAATTTTTTCCTCAACTACCCTAATACTGACAAAGTCTCATGAGTTACAAATATCATCTTTCCATGCAGGAATGTAAACAGTTCAATCTTAATAAGTCTCTTATGATTTCTCTTTCCTGTTTACCTCTTCATGTTCCACTGAGTCCTGTATTTGAAAGTCAAATTTTCTTTCAGCTCTGGTCTTTTCATCAGGAATGCTTGAAAGTCCTCTATTTCACTGAATGACCATTTTTTCCCCTGAAGGATTATACTCAGTTTTGCTGGGTAGGTGATTCTTGGTTGTAATCCTATCTCCTTTGCCCTCCGGAATATTATATTCCATGCCCTGCGGTCCTTTAATGTAGAAGCTGCTAAATCTTGTGTTATCCTGATTGTGTTTCCACAGTACTTGAATTGTTTCCTTCTGGCAGCTTGTAATATTTTCTCCTTGACCTGGGAACTCTGGAATTTGGCTACAATATTCCTAGGAGTTTTCCTTTGGGGATCTCTTTCAGGAGGAGATCTGTGGATTCTTTCAATTTCTATTTTGCCCTCTGGTTCTAATATATCAGGGCAGTTTTCCTTGATAATTTCTTGAAAGATGATGTCTAGGCTCTTTTTTTGATCATGGCTTTCAGATAGTCCAATAATTTTTAAATTCTCTCTCCTGGATCTATTTTCCAGGTCAGTTGTTTTTCCAATGAGATATTTCACATTGTTTTCTAATTTTTCATTCTTTTGGATTTGTTTTACAGTGTCTTGATTTCTCATAAAGTCACTGTCTTCCAATTGCTCTATTCTAATTTTTAAGGAAGTATTTTCTTCAGTAATCTTTTGGACTTCCTTTTCCATTTGGCCAATTTTTCTTTTTAGGGCATTTTTCTCCTCATTGGCTTTTTGGACCTCTTTTGCCATTTGGGTTAGGCTATTTTTTAAGGTGTTATTTTCTTCAGTATTTTTTTGGGTCTCCTTTAGCAAGCTGTTGACTTGTTTTTCATGATTTTCTTGCATCACTCTCATTTCTCTTCCCAGTTTTTCCTCTACTTCCCTTACTTGCTTCTCAAAATCCCTTTTGAGCTCTTCCAAGGCCTGGGACTGATTCATATTTTTCTTGGAGGCTTTGGATGTAGGAGCTTTGACTTTGTTGTCTTCTTCTGGTTGTATATTTTGATCTTCTTTTTCACCAAAGTAAGATAATATAGTCTGACTCTTTTTGCGCTGCTTGCTCATGATCCCAGCCAATTACTTGAGTTTTAAACTCTTTGTTAAGGTAAGAGTCTGCTTCCAATGTGGAGAGTGTACTGTCCCAAGCTTCAGGGGTTTGTACAGCTGTTTTCAGAGATACTTGTAGGGACCTGTAAATTTTCAGTTCTTCCAAGGTGGTATGATAAGGGGTGAGGTGTTTACTCCTTTCCTGGCCTGTGACCACAAGTATTCCTTTCTGTCCTGTAACTGTGAGGAGGGGTTCCTCTCCACAGCCACTACAAGCTCCACCATGCCAGCGTTCCTCCTCACCTCAGCACCGTCGCCCAGAACTGTGACCCAGATCCAAACACGGGCAAAGCAAGAGATTCCTGCCTCAGCACTGGCAAAGAGATCCCTGCAGTCCCCCTCTGATCAGCCACTGGATTCCCCCTCAGTCTGTGGGCTGGAAGCTCGGGAAGCAGCTGCCTCCCCACAGGGCCCCTGCTCTTGGGGAATGGAGCTGAAACCCCGCCTTCCTCTCTGACCACCGACAGAAACAGACTTTTCCCACTGACCTTCTAAGTTGTCTTTGGCATTCATGAATTGAGGAGTCTGGAAACCTCCACAGCTGCCCGCGATTCAGTCCTCTGAGTCCTGCTCCAGGTTTGCTGCAGCCTGCATGCCCATGCTGCGCTGCGCTGTGCTCCCAGCCCAGTGCGATACACCTTTCTGATCAATCATCCAGGTTGTCTTGGGCTAGAAATTTGTTTCACTCTGTCTTTTTGTGGGTTCTGCTGCTTCAGAATTTGTTTAGAGCTATTTTTTATGAGTATTTGGAGGGGTTTGGGGAGAGCTCAAGCAAGTCACTGCTTCCACTCCGCCATCTTGGCTCCGCCCCCGTGTCTCCAGCTTCTTGCACAAGGCACATAGTAGGTGCTTAATAAATGTTTTCTGAATGAATGAATGAATACACTTTTAGGATTCTGCTCATCCCTCCTGAGTACTATCCAACTCCTTGGCTCCTTCTAGGATTGGCCACTACTAGAACTTAATCAGCGGCTTCCTTTTAAAACTTTTTTTAGAATACCTTTTCTTTTGATTACTCACATGATTTTGTTCTATTGGCTATTAATTCCAAGACTTGAAAAAAATTGATTTCTTACCTTAATGAAAAACCATAAAAGGAAGCAAGTTTTCTGACTTCAAGAAATTTATTATTCACAATAATAGACTACATCTACATAGCACTTCAAGCAAAGCATTATACGCATATATGTGTGTATATATGTAAACACACACACATCTATCTATCTATCTAAATTTTATTTGACACTCCCTGTGAGGTAACTTGTCTTTAGAACATGCCCAGTTCTCTTCTCACCTGCCCCATTTCCTGATGCACACACTGACTTTTCTTTGGGTCTGAGATTTAGATCAGGGTTCATAGAATGGTCAGTCTTGGCCCCAGAGACCACTTTGGAGACCACTACTCAAGGCAATGGGGAATCACTAAAACCTCTGAACTGAGGAGTGTCATGATCCGACCTGGGCCTTGGGCCAATTCTTTTTCTGGTTCTGTGGGTGAAGAATTAGAGACAAGAAAGATGTAAGGGAGATCCATTATTAGAATATCACAATGATCTAGACAAGGGATAATTAGGGTTACATGAATAGAAGGGAGGGGACATAGGCAAGGGATGTCATAGAGGTAAAATGGATGTAACTGGGTAAATGATTGGAAGTCTGTGTAAGGGAAAGCAATGAATCAAGAGTAGTGCCAACATTTTGAACAGAGTTGTCTGGGACAATAGATGGGTCCTCAATAGAGCTGGGCAGCGACTGGGGAGATGACATGTTCTCAACATCACCAGTCAAGCAGACATCCTCATCGTTTGGCTTGAAAACAAGCAGCAAGTTCTTATGATAACTGTGATCTAAAACCTTTCTGGCTGTATTTTTTTTTAGGGGAAATTCATTCTTGTCCAACCATTGATGAGTTTGCCAACATGCCCAAGACTTTGGAAGGACCAGAGGACCCACCATCTCCTCTGGAAGCCCAGCAGGACATGACCTCCAGGTTTCCTCTTGGCCTCAGAAAGATACAAAGCCTAGTCCGGACATGCTGTGATGGCTAGAAGACATATTGCAGGCAAACTGTCTTCTTGGCAGGATTGGGTTTAGCCTTCTTGTACACAACTGTGCTGGGCTTTGACTGTATCACCACAGGCTATGCCTACACACAGGGGATCGGGGGCTCCCTTCTCAGCCTCCTTATGGCCATCTCAGCCTTCTCGGGTCTTGTGGGCACAATCCCCTTTACCAGGTTAAGAAGGTCCTATGGCTTAGTTCACACGGGCCTCATCTCCAGCTGTCTCCACATAGGCTGTTTGCTGCTCTGTGTGTTTTCTGTCTTTGCCCCTGGGAGTCCTTTTGATTTGGGCATTTTCTCTCTTTCACTAAGCCAGAACTCTTCCTTAAGTCACGAGATGCTGAAAGAGAACACTGTACATGTTTCTCCTTTTGAAAGAAACATTAACCAGCCTATCCTTCCTGGTCGCTCAACCATCCACTGGACCAATAATACTGTTCTGATGGATGGTCCACAAGAGAGCAACCAGCCTGAGTCATATATCTCCATCATCTTGCTCTTCTCAGGAGTGATCTTGGCCAGAATCGGTAAGGCCTGGTTAAAGCTGTTGAATGGTTTCTTTTTTCTTTTTCTTTTTTTCTTTTTTTCTTTTTTTTGGCTAGGCAAATGGGGTTAAGTGACTTGCCCGGGGTCACACAGCTAGTAAGTGTTATGTGTCTGAGTCTGGATTTGAACTCAGGTCCTCCTGAATCCAGGGCTGGTGCTCTATCCACTGCTCCACCTAGCTGTTCCTGAATGGTTTCTTGTATTGTTGTAAAGTCTGTGTGCAGGCACAATCATTGTTCTTGAGGGTTAGGGAAGGGACAGTTGATTTTACTTCCCGCAAAGCCAACAACCATCTTTCTGTAGCTGGAACTCCATGTGAAACCCAGATCTCGGCTCAGATTCTAATACTCTAGCCAATAGCTCACTAACGTTCAGACTCCTTAAGAGTCTGCCCATTATGACGGATGTTCTAATAAACCTTGTCTTTGGCTGAAACCCAGATCTTTGTTTTCTGTCCCAGACCTGACCATTACATCCAGACAGGCATTTTCCTCTTTTCAGGTGTCACTCTGACCCATCTCAAGTCCTCCCCAAAAGATGCTTTATAAAAATATCTAACATTTCCACAATTCTTTAATGATGGCAAAGTGCTTTACATATACTATATTCTTGGAGGTGCAACACAGCCCTGGAAGGAAGTATTATTTTTATGCCTATTTTACAGGTGAGGAATTGGAGCCTAAGGGAGATTAAGGGGCTTGCTCAGAGTCATATGACTAGTCAGGGGCAGGGGCTGGATTTAGACTCAGTTCTTCCTGAATCCCAGGTCAGTGTTATATCCCCTAAAGCCATCAATTTTCATTGTGATGTGGATGTGACCTCAGACTGATTGCATCATACCTCAAAAGCCAGAAGGGACCTTACAGATCATCTGGTCCAACCTCATTTTACAGAAGGGGAAACTGAGGCTTGTGGAATTATTTGCCCACAATAACATATCTACTAAGTTTAATGTAAAGCAGGATTCGAACCCCAATCCTCTCACTACATATGCAGCAGTCTTCCCGTGCACTATGAAAGCTATAAATGCCCAAAGAGTGCAACTTCTTCTAAATAACCGTGAAGCCAAAAATCTTGTTAACTAACAGTATATCTGTTGTCTTAGGCCCTATCCAGCTGCATTTGTAGAGGTTCATCACCAGATTGGTTGCAGGGTGGTGCAACCAATTTTTTGGCCATGGCAACTATTGAAGCATTTAATAGGCCAGGATCGATATCATTAGAGGGGGAGGGAGTGGAGTAACGACCCTAGAACATGCAATCACAGGTTCTGGAAGTGTAGTATTAAAGTAGGTCACTTTGCATCTTCAGTATTGAAATAGGCCACTTTGACTATAATATCATCTACTTTGATTTCCTTCTCTTGCAGGTCTCTGGTCCTTTGACCTCACTGTGACTCAGCTCCTTCAAGAAAACATCGCAGATTCAGAACGTGGCACTGTGAATGGTGTGCAGTGTTCCATGAACTACCTAATGGACCTTATCCACTTCATCCTTGTCATCCTGGCCCCAGCCCCTCAACAATTTGGGCTGTTGGTGTTCATTTCTATCATCTTTGTGATTATGGGGCACACCATGTATTTTGTTTATGCACGTAGATACAGGAGTCAAAATCCATGTACCCAGAAAACACCAAAGAGGGACAGGGAAGCCTTTTTAACTTGAGAAATATGTAACTCTTTTCTATCTGATAATATCTCCCATTAGAGAGTTTCCTCATGTAAAACCGATCTGATTTCACAATCACAATTTCTAGCCACTTCTCCACTAGCTGATATCTTTATTCATTCATTCATTTGTTCATTGGCTAATTCTTTCAACAAGCTCACCTGCCCTGTTTGGGATGACTAAATAATAAGGTGATTGCTGTTCTGCCCAAAACTGAGGAGCTAGGCTAGAAAATCAATCGTGGTTCTCTCCATGTATAAAGAGATGTAAAATACGGTTCCTCCCTCTCCATCCTCACCCAAGACATGAATACAGATGAATACCCAACAAATTAGAAGACAGCTATGTGAAAGGGGTAGGAATGCTCCGAGATATGATGAGAGAGAAATCACTTCAGACTTCTTTGAAGGAGGTGGCATTCCAGCTGGCCTTGGAGGATGGAGAGAATGTGCATATCGTTTACAGCTTGGACATTGCTACAACTTGGACCAATTCTTTGAAAACCTATCCTTACTGATGTCATCTGAGCGCTGCATAGATCTTCAATTGTGGGTTGGTTTCTAAGGCTCAGCCTCAGGAAAAAGAACCACATGTGTATATAAATGCCACAGCTAAAATCCAGACTCTGACTAATGTCAGGATTAGCCAATAGGAGGTCTGAATAATATTATTTTCAATTAAATTCAGCTCTTTTCAGCAAAGGTTTATTAAGTGCCCCACTGTGATGGGCACTAGAGATACAAAGCTAAAAGCTAAACACTTTCAGCCCTCAGGGATCTTATAATCTACTGGGAAGGATACAAGTGTACTGATGAGTAAATGCAAAGTCATTTCAGTAAAATGGACTGGAGTCAGAGGCTCAGAAAGACCTAGGATATGGCCCTGAACTGAGTCTTGAGGGAAGCCAGATGTCCCAAGAGGCACATTTGAGAACAGAGGGTATTCCAGGCATGGGAATGGACAGCCTCCACAAAGGCACAGTGGTGGAAGATGGAATGTTGGGTTTGGGTTGGCATTGGACCATTTGGACTAGAAGACAGAGTGTATGAAGGGGAGTAATATGAAAAAAAAAACCCTACAAAGAGAGGTTGGTGCTAGTTTATGGAAGACTTGAAATGCCAGGCTGAGGATCTTGTATCTTATTCTAGGTACAATTCTAGGAGCTGTTGAAGCTCCTTGAAGAATCAGCCAGTGTGATCAGATCCTTATTAATTTAAAAGGTAGGGGGAGGACAAATTGGGGAGGGGAGAGACCTGAAGCAGGGTCACAGGTTAAAAGGCTAGGGTTGTGCTTGTGAATGGAGAAGAGTAAAGAGATGCAAAAGATGTTACGAAAGTAGAATTGACCAGATTTAGGGGCTGGTTGGATCTTGGAGATGAGGGAAAGAGAAGAACCATGAATGATCATGAAGTCGTCAACCTGGATGAGTGGAACATGGTGCTACAGCATAAAAGGGAAGTCTAGAGGACAGATCACTGTCTGATAGGGAGAAATAAAACTTTTGGTCCTATTGAGACATTCAGGAAGTAAAAGACAGGGCAAGAATAATGCTCAAGAGAAAGATTAGGGCTGGATATATAGTTTGGGGAGGCATCTATATAGAAATGACTGTTCAACCCATGGGGGTAAATGAGATCGCTTAGGGAAGAGAGAAGAGCAGAGAACCCAAGGGAGGGTCTTGGGATACTCATACCTAGCGAGCGGGACATGGATAATGATCCCGCAGAGGAGACTGAGAAGGAGTGGTCTGATAGGTAGGAGGAGCACCAAGACAGATTAAATGTTACAGAAGCCATGAGAGGAGAGAGTATGGAGGAGGAAGGGGTGGGGGAGGCCAAGGGTGGGGGTTGAGGATGGAGAAGTCTCATTGAGAGCTTGCTTCTTAACTGGTGTTCCTGGAGAAGCCCCATCCTCTCATCTGGATGTGCCAACAGCAGCTGGGCCTTAATAATGCCAATTACACGGCTCCCTATTGCAAATGTCTGTTCTTCATGTCTTAATGTGAAGATTAGTCAGAGACTCCTAGAGGCTATTAGCGCATCAAAATGGTATTTCTTAAGCCTGCCAAAATGATTGTATTTGTGCCTCTACCCCATTCCCCAGGGGATAAGTGTAGGTTAGGAACAAGAGTAGCTCATTTCTGTAGTATTTTAAGGTTTCTAAAGTACTTTGCTCACAACAGCCACCATCTTCCCCCCACCCCCCACAGTGGGTAGAATATGTATTCTTGTCCCCATTTCACAGTTAAAGAAACTGAGTCTTGGAGCTGATAAAGGCCTCATCCAGATCCATACAACTAGTAAGTGTTAGAGCCAGGATTTGGACTCGGATTTCTCCTGACTCCAGGTCCAGTGTACTTTCCCAAAAAACCGTGCTACCTCCACGATATACCATCACATGGGGAAGACCCTTATGCTGTGTGACAACCTCTGAGTGAAATAGTCATTTGTGATTTAAACAAAGCCAATCATTATAGTTTTATTCATTTCCAGTGAGCATTCAATAGTTAGTGAATATTAGCTGTGACATGTATGTTCTGGGCCAGACTTCAGATCTGGCTCTCTCCATCCATCCTCATTTTGATGACTGAGTAGGAATTCCAATTGTAAAAAGAAAAACAAAACAAAACAACTTTATGAACAGTATTAATGTTACTTCCAAATACATCAACATAAATGAGTTGCCATCAGCTAAGACTAATGAACCATAACTTTTTTATTAGTTATAAATCACCAACACTGAAAACTGTTACAAATTGTCTTAATTTCTCTCTCTTTAAAAAATTACATCCAAAAGGAAGCAAAAATGTGTGTGGCTGTTTAAATGGGAGATGACATTCATTGCTGCTTTATTGAGGGGTTCAAATTTCTGTGTTTGTTTAGAAGGGAAAATAATATAGCTAGTAACAAGGTTCATTTGGGCCTTGGTCACTAACACACAAAAAAATGTTAGTGCAGGGAACACCAGATTTGGGAACCATCATGTATCATATATAATAGCACACCAGCTAACTAGCTTCGCTGAGGAATAAGGCATTCTAGTGATATGGATTTAGTGGTTAATAAAAAGTTAAAGAAAAACCCATTTATGCCTAAAATCATAGAAGTACAACATAATGAATATATACTAAAAGTACACAAAATGGATTTTTTCCCCTAAGGAAAAAACCTACCAAGTGAATGAGATTGTTATTTTAGAGCATAAAGTTATATTTTCTACCACTCACTCACCTCCAGTTGAAAATGTGGAAAGGACATGATCTTGTGAATACCTTTGCTTTCATTTCTCAGTTAGGCCTATTAACACTTCATATAATAAATCCTGGTGATCGTTGTTTTTTAAAAAAAAATAAAGGACATTTAAGAGACATCAGGAAAGTAAATTAATTAGAATTATGCCTCACACAACTTGTTTACAGGGAAATGGTGCTGTGACAAGGTGTGAAATCCCATGTTAGGGCCCTTAATAGTTGTAATTAGCACACACATTTATATATAAAAATCTTCAAAGAAACTCTTGTGGCTTTTAATTGCGTTTGAAAGCTTCAGAAGTTTGGCAGCTGGAGTACTGCATGTAGGTCTTTAGGTCTTCTCTGGTTCTCCTGACCAGCAACTTTTGCCCTTTTGAGTAAAAAAACCCCAACAACACATGCTAGTTATTTGAGAGTTCTGCTTACTTGAGGGCCAATTAACAGGGGCTTTAAAGTATATTTATTCTCAAGGATTTATATAATGAGGAAAACAATCTTCTCCTTCAGTAGAAAATAATATGCCCTTTAAAATGTTAGAATAAATTGGTTGTTTTGTGCTTTATATATTATGTTGGAATATTGGGCCCACTCAGTTCAATTCAACAAAGTTTTATTAAGTGCCAACTATATGGGAAGTATTGTACTACCCTCTGGGGACTGTAAAGACAAAAATGAAGCCATCCCTGCCTTCAAAGGGTTTGCAGTCTTTCTGTGTCTGAAATTATTTTCAGTGTTGCGTTAGGCATCCTGCCACAGACCCCAAGACTGTCCATATTCTCTACTTTAGGACAAGTAAGTGATGGCAAGATTTTAATAGTGCCTAGCATTGGGGGTGGGGAGTGGTGGGAGGGACAACAGAAAACCAATTGAAATCCTTTCTGTCATGACTCCACCACTCTTGTCATAGAGACCTCACAAGTCTAGTTCGAGCCAAATTAACGGTAATTGTTCTTTCTATTGGTATAATATCTCAACACAAGGTTGTCACCTTTGGAAGATACACTTGCAATTTCAGCACCTGGGGTGACTTTAGGACCTTTCCTTGTAATTTAGGAATGCTGCTATTAGATGGAGGTAGACGTTGTACTATTTGTACTCATTCCAGCTCATCTCAGTGTTGAGAAATTGGCACTGTTTTCCAAACCACAAATTTACAAAACATATAATGTCCATTAAGATAACTGATTTATTGACAAACTGTTTTAAAAAGTAACTTTTATAACAGATTTAAAAAAAACCCTAAAAAACCAAAGTTCTCATTCATTTCTCTAGCTGGATTGCTTAACTATTCTTTTTTTTTAAGCCGAGAGATTGCTATTATGGTCTTAGTTCCTCAAGAGAAGGAAAGCTTTGCTTTCAATTCTCCGCTCCGCCTCAGCACTGGCATCGCACATTCTTCGACTTGTTTGCCGGTCAGCTCTCTGGTGTCTCTTTTCCAAAGAATCATTTTACTGACTGCTCTGAGTCGGCCACTTGTGAGTGAGGTCTCCTTTTGTGCCAGAAAAATACCAGCTCTCTCCAATATTTCTCTGGTTCGCCCTCTTTTTAGGAATCTTCTCATATATTTATCCTCCATCTATAATATTCAGAGAGACTAGGAATTTGTATGCATCAATTCACTGAACTTCCAGAGTGAATAGATTGCAAAAAGCTTCCTCCTTTGTTCTTAAAAAAATCAAATCAATTCAACAAACATTTATCAAATATGTACTGTGAGCTAGGGATAGAAAGACAAAAATTAACAGCGCCTGCCCTGCAAGGAGCTTACATTCTGCTTTGGGGAGGAAGGCAGCTGTGCCAAGATGAAACACAAAGTAATTTCAGGAGTATTAGCTGGGGAGATCTGGGGTACGAGTTGGTACATGAACTGTGCTTGGATGGAACTTTGGGATTCTACAAGATAAATATGAGGAGGGAGAGAATGGGTCATTAAAGAAAAATGTTATTTAACCAGTTTTATTCCAGCCTTTTTTATATCACAATAATTTCTAGAAAGATCTTCCTCTTTCAAAAAAAAAAAAGAACGCTGCCTTGTAACAAAGAAAACCAGTTTATTAAACCTGCCAGATCAAGTGGCGCTATCTGACAATGAAGGCGGCTCATCAGCACAGTCCCCAGCTCTTCTAGTAAGAGGAGGGATAATAACAACAGCATTCGCAGAGCACCCACTTTGTGCCAGGCACTGCGTTTCATTAGCTGAGACCAGTATTTGTTTTTTGTTTACTCCAATCTCGGTTTCCTCTCAGATACCTTTTCACTGATATTGTTGAAATCATTATGCATAGTATTCTTCTGACCCAGCAGCACCTAGGTGGTGCCATAGTGCATAGAGCACTGCTTACTAGCTGTGTAATCTTGGGAATATCACTTAACTTCCATTTCCTCATCTGTAAAATGGGGATAAGAATAGCACCCACTTCCAAGGGTTGTGAAGAGGATCAAATGAGATAATATTTGGAAAGTGCTTAACGCAGTGCCTGGCACATAGTAGGAGCTATATAAATGCTAGCTATTATTATTTTTTTCCCTGCTTTGGTTTTTCAAATCTCTTCATATTTCTCTGAATTTCTCATATTTATCCTTTCTTGCTACATATCCCATTATATCTATTGGTTTCTCCAGTTTCTCCAGTGTCCCCAGTCAATGGGCACCTGCTTGGTTATCACAAAGAATCCTGCTATCAATATCGGGGCTGTTCCACACCCAGTTCAATCTGCCCTCTCTGTGTTGTTGGCTGTTAATATGAAGCAACCAAGACAAATCCAACTGCACAGAATTGAAGGCAGTCACAAAAGCAGCCACGGCCAAGGAGTGAGTCCACGCTCTATTTGGGACATGCATATTTGCAATGTAGAAGTCTTCAAAAACCACATCATGCCACTCTCCAAGATTCCATCTTGTGCTTATGTGAGTTAAAAGACTTGCAAATGTGAACATAACATCTTATTTTACCTTGAATGTCATTATCAAACATTATATTAATGCCACATTTTACTTTGTACTTAACTACATCATTAATACAAGAGAGGCTTTAAACATTATCCTTTTTTTTCCATAAGGGCCTCTAGAGAGGCTGCATGTTGTAGTGAGTAGAAGGTACGTTTCTGAGTCAGGAAGTCCTGGGTTCAGGTCCTGCCTTTGGTCCTGCCTTTGGCACCTGCAGGCTGGATGACAAATCTCTTAACTTCTCAGTGGAGTGTCCACTTGCAACTCTCTATAAATTACCTTTCAGACACAAGTCTTCAAACTCTTACATTTGCATCAATTAACCGGTAGATGAAGAAAGTATGGGAGAGGTCTCCAACCTTAACCGTCTCCCCAAGTCCTCTCTTTTCCAAGCTGAAATTCCCATTTCCTTCATATGGCACCATCTTGAGCACCTTTGCCCTCCGAGCTGAGCTTCCTCTGGTGTTTCCATTGTAATAATGTGTGCCCAGACCTGACTACTAGTTGGGCACCAGATGGCAAAGCAGAGCTGGATATGGGGCAGGGCCTATACTCTCCATTTCTGGATGCCCCCTTCTCTTAATATAACCCAAGGTCCCACTGGCTTTTCTGATTTCCCTATCATAGGGACAGAGATGGCTCACACACATTCACAGCATTGGTTCGTACACTGGCTTATGCTTCACTAAAAGCTTGGGCCGTATATTTTGTTTTGTTTGTTTTGGTCTCGGTTTTTTCACCGACAACCGGTAACTTATCATTTTTAGAGAGTCGCTTGGTTGGGGCAGCTAGGTGATGCAGGGAATAGAGCACAGGCCCTGGAGTCAGGAGGACCTGAGTTCAAATGTGACATCAGACACATGACACTTAGTAGCTATATGACCCTAGGCAAGTCTCTCAACCCTGACTGCCTCACCAAAAAAAAAAAAAAATAGAGAGTTGCTTGGGGCATGAAATGGTTAAGTGACTTGCCCAGGGTCTCCTAGTCACTCTGTGTGGGAGGGGGATCTTGAAGCCAAGTTTTTCTGATCCTAAGATAAACTCTCCACTTGCCCCAGTGAGCTGCCTCTCCCCCCCCCCCCACCTTTTTCACACGAGCTGTTTTCTGGCAATCGATGCTTCCTTGTCTCAGACTTGTGAGGTCGATTTTTAAAAACCCAAGGCTAAGACGAGATGTCCATCTAGTCCTATCTGGTTTCATCTTATTACAATCAATCCGATGTTCTCACCTGTCAAGCCCTTTTTGGATCCTGGCTGCCTGTCAGCCCGCCTGTTGATTGGCCAGAATTTCATTTGGTGCCGCACGGTAACAAAAGGACAGAAGGTGCGATCCGGAGCCTTAATTGAAGATAACAAGTTTCGAGCTGTCCTAGTTGCAGTAAGCAATGGAGAGATTGATGTCTGGCTTGAGGTGGAGGCACAGAGTGGGGCCTTGGCTTGAAAGCTGATGAGCTGCACGACACGAGCCTCAGTTTCCTCCTCTGTACATGTTTACAGGCAGAATGGGAATGCCTGGGTTATCCAACTCAGCTATACTGGGATAATCACACAGACCACTGGATGCCAAGCCCTCTGAAAAAACCAGCCACTGTGGGGAACGGGGAGAACCTAACAAGTTCAAGGTCAAGGGGCTAGCACTTGGCTAGAAGCACTCACTTTTCAGTTGGACGACTATCCCAAACCTGCTTGGCAGGAGGCAGCGAGATGGGAGCGTTCAGCGTTACTTGGGTCTGCTTTCCTTGTTAGGTTAGATAAGATCATGGATCTTATCCAGAGCTGGGAGGGACCAGAGAGGTCATCTACTCCAAGCACTCTCTTTTCCACACAAGGAAACTGAGTTTCAGAGAGTTAAAATGCCTTGTCTCCAACGCCATTGCTTTCCGTTGTACCAAGATGCTTCTTAAGTCCACACTCTGACAGTGACTGTGGGCAAATCCTTTAACCTCAGTGTCCTAGGCAACCCTCCAAGATGACAGGGTACTAGGTACAGTTGCTGGTTTTCATTAGTGGAGAAACTTTTCCAACTTGGAGCTCCCTACATTGATAAAATCACACACCTGGACCAAACCCCACTTCCTCTGCCCATTCTCAGTTCCCTTGTGCGCATTGTTACACTGCTGGGTCAGACTGAAGAGGATTCCAAGGAAGTGACTTGGGCAGGGCGTATATCATGCCATATCTCTGACCCTCCCAATGCTGCCCTTGTAGGGGATAGCTCTGGCCTGAGGAGGGAATAGAAAAATGACAACTGGTGTAGGGGTGGGGGTGGGAGCCAAGCATAATTTGTTGGCAAGCCCAAGGGTGTGGCACAATGGAGTATGTATGTGGAGATGATGCCATTCTGCAGATGTCAGAACAGCTGCCCTCACCAGGTGGCTTGTTGGACATAGGCACTGAGCTTTCCTCTTTTGCCTGGCATCCCATTGTCTCATACTACCCCTCCTTCCAGCAGAGTTGGCCATGGGAAGGGGAAAAAGGAAGGAAGAAAGAGCCTCTTCCCTGTTCCAAGGTCTCTCCTCTCACACAGGATGAAGGGCTCTGATAGCTTGACTCTCGGTGGCCACAAAATTTTGCTTCAGTTTTTTGTGTACCTAAAGACCCCACACATCTGGAGGAGTGTGCGTGTATGTGTGCGTGTGTGTGTATGTGTGCGTGAGAGATGGGGGTGGGGGGGCTTCTTTATTCCCTGGTCTGCTGCCCCATATGGCCAGCTATAAAATCTCTGAAAGAGATTAAGTACCTGTTTGAAATCCTGAGCTCCGGACTGCATGATCTGTTTGGTCGTTCAGAGATCCAGGGCTGAAAAGAGCAGCAGAAAAGGGAGCAAGGGGGCCACTACTGATCCAGCACCAGGGGAGCACCAGGGTGTGGGGCCCAAAGTCAACAGACAGTAATCATCTGCCTTTTATGTGCAAGGCACTGGAGGATCAAGAAAATAAAGAGAAAGAGTAGCTGCCATCCTGAGTCAGGCTTGTATTTCCCTACAAAGGGCCAAGGTTTGGGAAGAGATATGCCATGTCCACAAGTAAACTTAATACAAGGCAGAGTGAGATAAAGTCAAGGAGAGGAGCCCACAAAATGGGCAAAGACTTGGAGAAGGGGCAAGTTGCTTTACTCCTCCAGGCCTCAGTTTCCCCATTTGTGGAATGAGCGCATTGGCCTAGTTGACCTTCCAGCTCTAAATCTATGGCCCTTAGAACTCCAACATTAGGCAAAGGTTCCAAGGATCATGGAATGGTTTGCCTGAAACGGTCATCTAAAGCAAGCCCTTCATGGTAGAAGTGGGAAAAGAAGGCCTGAACAGGGAAGTCACAGGCCAAGGGGTTACAAGAAATTGGAGGAAGGCAGGTTTTGAACCCAGGAGTCCTCACGCTCCACATTCGGGGCTTCTTTGGACATTGAAGACTCCTTTGCTTGCTTACAAAGAGTCCATCATATTGAGGGCCATTTGTAGGACCCGAGGTAGGCAGCAACCTGCCAAAGATGGCATCTGGTAGGTTTGTGGGTAACAGAAGCAGGTATTCAGGCTGCCCCTAGCATGCCCCCTTCTCTCTGGCAACAGGAGGAACTTTGGGTCCGTTATCAACCCCTAGAAAACTATCTGTCCGGTTTCTCATCAGTTCTAGTTGCCTGGGAAAAAATATCCTCAACTAGATTCTTTAAGGACCAATGTTTGCACATGGCTAGGTGCTGCCCTCTGGCTGTGAGGCACAGTGAAAAAAGCCCCGAATTTGGAATCAGTCATCTTGCTTTGCAATCCTGACTCTGATGTTGGCTGCCTTGTCACTGTGGGCAAGTCACTTCTTCTTGGGCATCATTCCTCACCTGTCAATTAAGGGGTCTGGATTTAATAGCCCCCAAGATCTCTGCCTGCTCTAAGCCCCGGAGGGAGGGAGGGAGAGAATGTTTCCAGCTGGAGCCAGGGATGTCTAGGAAAGCTTTTTAGTGGATGCGGCCTCTGAGCTGAGCCTTGAAGGAAACTATGGGTCCAGAAAGTCTGAGGGAAAAGTGTGAGTATTCCCAGGTCCTATTCCACAAAGCTCCATATTCTCTTACCTCATGGGGTTGTCCTTTGTAACTTTCTCCCCCTCGTTCCCATCACTCCCATTGCGGTCCCATGCCCAGTCTCAGAAACCAGCTACCACCTTGGAGCTGGGAGAGCTCCCGAATGGGTGACGATAAGAAGGGAAGAGGCCCACGGTCTTATGACATTGACAGAGATGTGTCGTTCTTACATCCAAGATGGAATACGGAAGGCATTTTCCCCCCCATAGAAACACTGTTCTACTGGATGGTTAGGGTCCCTGGGTATGACCACCGTGCTTGTATTATGGGTAACACAGACATTTACTGGCCTGCTCGAGAACCAGGCAGGCCATTGTTTCTATGGGAAAATGTTTGTCAAGTTCCAAACAACTGAGCTAACATGCTAACTTTTGGAACACACCCCATTTGTAAGTCAGCCAGAGCCGAGGAAGAAGGGGCCATTGTCTGAAAGGCCTGAACCAAAGAAATCTGGTGACTTGTTAAACCAGGTACCATTTGGGAAGACAGCTGGGCTTTTGGCTACACATTGCATCTTGGCCTATTTGGCTCAGTGCAAAGAGGGAGAAAAATCGCATTAGCCTCCAAATCACGCGTGTCATGGCCCATTCCTGGGAAAGCATCAGTTACCAATCCATCGACCATTTGCCGTCCCGGGCCTCCAGCTCCCTCTCATCTATTTCTCAGCCCACCACTGTCCCACGTCAGTCTTAAGTTGCTGCCCCTTAAATTTGCTTATAGGAATCACTAAACCGCAAGTGTCTTCCCAGGATTTCATTCACCTCAGCCTGTAGTTTGCTAACAGATGCCAATCTCGGAGGCATGTCAAGAGGCTCTATGGGATAATTGGGAGTGAAGGGGTCACCACCACCTGTGGAATGGAAGAAGGCTAATCGCTCACAGTTCTGAAGGCATAATCCTAGTCCTATACCAGCCAAAGGCCTCCTGACCACTCTTTAGCTGCTTCCTGCCTAAAATTCTTCTCACTCATTTGTTCAATAAGCCAAAAAGCCTGCTACGTACCAGACACCGTGCTAAGCACTGGAGACAGAAAGGAAGGTAAAACACGGTTTTTGCCCTCAAGGAGCTCGGTCTAATGTGGGAGACATGCCAACAACTGCGCACAAACAAATATATACAAGATGAACTGGGGGTAAACTGAGGAAGGGTGCTCCTATTCAGAAGGATTGGGAAAGGGTTCTTGGAGAAGGTGGGAGTTTGGCTGGGATATGAAGGAAGCCTGGGGAGTCAGGAGGGAGCCCAGGCATGGGCGTTTCTCAGAATAGAGAAGAGTGTCCTGTGTGAGGAACAGCTAGGAGGCCAGCCCTAGCCACTTACTATGTGCCAGGCAAAAACGAAACAGTGCCTGCCTCCAGGGAGCTCACAGTTGATTCTATTCTTCTTGGTCTACGCCTTAACATTAGCTCTGCTATTGCTACTTGGTCATGATCACAGCTGCCCTTATTTCACTGAGCTGTGATGCCGGTGAAAATGCCCAACATTAGGAGATGGGTCAAGTGAAGGATTCGGACACATGGGGAATTTTGGGAATTTCCATCCACATGTGACACTTGCCATTAATACCAGTCTTTGAAAAGGTGAACATAAGACTAGAAGCAAGTCCCTGAATTGCGTTTTCTTCCCATCTCCCAAAGGTGCTCCTCTTAGGAATGAGGAAGCCAAGACTCAGGTTAAGAAGTCAGTCAATCACCATGAGTTTATTCAACACCTTCTTGGGTCAGGCCAAAGGAGATGCAGTACCAAGGAGCTTATAGTGCAGCAAAGGAAGGAAAATGGATACAGACAAATGTTAAGAGACAATGTATGTACGAAGTAAACGCAAAGTAATTTGGTTGGGGTTGGGGGTGGTCAGGAAAGGCCTCCCCAGGAGCTGTGAAGGAAGCCAGAGAGGCTCGGAGTGACTTGGCCAAGGTCACACCCAGGCAACGGCTGAACTCAGGCGTTCTGACTGAATTCAGTGCCTTTGCCAAGATGCCAGGCTACAAATTCAGAATCAAGCATTTATTAAGTGATGTGCCAACTGAGCAAGGATCTTACACTCTCCTGGGAGTAGATCACACCTTCTCTTTACCTTTCTCTGCTCTCCAGATACCAGGCCGAGCAGCAATCCTCACTCAGTCCTAGAATCCTACATGTGCCCAGAGCTTGAAGGGACCTCCAAGAAATGAAATAGACAAGATATGGCCCATAGGATTTCATCGGAACTGGGGGCTGTCCCAGAACCAGGAGCTCATCTGGCCACAGACATGCCAAGCGAGGCAGGATTTACCTCCCTGTCCAAAGTGCCCTTGGGACACAGTAACAGTCACATTATGGGATGACTGTGATAGACTTAGCTCCTCTCAGCAATGCAAGGATCTAAGACAACTCCAAAAGACTCATGGCGAAAAATGCTACCCACATCCAGAAAAAGAACTACGGAATCTGAATACAGATCGAAGCATATTATTTGCTCCTTTTTTTTGGTTTTGTTTTATTTCTTCTTGTGGTTTCTCCCTTTGGTTCTAATTTTTCTTTACAACACGACGAATGTAAAAATAGGTTTAATGTGAATGAATATGTTGAGCCTATATCAATTTACATCCCATTTTGGGGTAGGGGAGGGGAAAGATGGGGAGAAAATTTGTAACTCTAAATGTTATGGAAATGAATGTTGAAAATTAAAAGTAAATAAATAACTTCATTAAAGAAAAAAAGTGCCCTTCGGCTGTGTTGACAGATGAAGCCTCTTTCAAAGTAGGAAGAATATTGGACTCAGAGGCAAAAGGCCTCTGGCCCAAATTCCAGCCCCACCTGGGGTGACCTCATCCAAGGAAGCACCCTTCATTTGCTCATCTACAAAGAGATCTCTGAGGCCTCTTCTGGCTCAGTTCTGAAGGAAGCTGGGGTATGGAACCAGAGCCGGGAAGAGGCTCTATCACTAGGCTTGGCTCCACTGTGTTAGGCTTTTTAAGGATGCTTTGGTCTAGATGAGCCATATTCTTTCCCAAATAGAACTGCAGATGGTACCTCTTTGGAAAGGCTCCCTACCAGCCGGTGCGTGTGGGAGGGCACTACAGTGGAATGACAGAGGTCCCAACCCCAGTTCTGCCACAGTTACCTGGAGACCTTAGACATGTCACTTAGCCTCAAGGGATGGCAGGGTGGGGGTGGCCTAGGGGACCTCTGACTCGTCTCAACTTCCTCTAATCCCAGGGCTCCAAGCAGGACGTCTACAGGCACCACCTCTTCACGTTAGAACCTTGTTCACTGACGATGGGCTTTCTTTGCTTCTCCTTTATCCGAGGACCAGAACTGGCAAAGGAAAAACATCATTTATTATCTGCTGGGCCTGTGGGGCCCAATGACAAGCTGTAAGACTTTCACTTAGCGAAGAGACAAGCTCTCCCCAATCACACCGTGAGGGGAGAAGGCGCTTCTGTTCAGTGCTTGGCTTGTTTGTTTCCGAGAAGTGACACCATTACATTCGATGCCTTCTGTGGGATTTCACTCCTGAACTAATCACCCTATCCATGTATCCAAGCTCTAGCACACAGACATCCTGCAAACTTAAGGCTGAGGCCAGCTTGGTTTTTCTCTGTTACTCCAGATCTTCCTGGGCGGGGCTCACTTGTCTTGGCCATCCAGTTTCTGGCAATGACAACCTTCTGGAAAGGCCACGAGCCGGGATGCCCCGAAGCGAAGCTCAGCACCAGCTGCAGTGATCAAACGTTGGCCCTTGCTTCTACTCTGTCCCTTTTTAGGCTCCAGTTTAACTTGAGCGTCACCACTTGGTTACCTGATGGCCCAGGCCAGCCTCCGGGCTGCCCTCTTATACCCACGGAGTCAGGGGGTCAATAGCAGCCAGCAAAGGCTGAGGAAAACTGCTTATAAGATGGCATGTGGCGCTTCCCAGGGACTCAGACCCCAGGAAAGGGAAGCACATTCACTCACCCTTAGAGTTGGACACAAACAGATCTCATTAAGTTACAGGGAGTTTTTGTACGTGAAGCATAAAACAAGAACAGTCAGAGAGGCCTGAGACTCACTCAGTGATGAGGCACAAGTTCTACAAATTTCAACAAGCCCTGAGAACGTATAATCGCCTCAGCCATGGCCCAGGAACTGATCACAGTAATCGAGTTTTGAGAAAAGGCAGTCATTCTCCTAATACTCTACTTAGAAGTCAGGAGAATGGCCTCCATTTCTGAAAAGGTTGAGGGAAAAAAAACCCCACCACCCACCAAGCATTGAAACTAAAACGTTAGGTCCTTTACCTGGAAAACTCACGTTTTCAGAACATCTGCTAAGGGTAGGAAATGACTCCCAACCAGTTTTCAGTTTTGTTTTTTTAATGAGCATCATCACTGTTCAGTTTTAGGGTTTTTTGTGATAAATTGATCTCCTGGTCAAGCAGATATTCTCATTTTCCTGACATCTTCAATATCCAAGAGAATGTTCATTTGGCCTCAGGTAAATCCTTTAACCCATCAGAGCATGTGAACTATGCTCAATCAGACTGTGGTTTTCATCCTCGGCCAAGTATTCCATTTCCCTTACAGGTCATGTTAGATGACACCCCACTGACCCATACCTGAAGTAACTGGAAATTCACCATAAGCCTGTCTTGTTTTCCTCATGGACCTTGGGACAAAAAGAAGAAAATAACAGCATTGTGCTTTTGTTCAGGTGTGAACGCAGGAAGTCAGGGCGGACATATTCAATGCCCAAAATTAGCCCAGCTTTTCCTGGCCTGCCAATACCATGAAGACCTGCTGGTTGCATGTAGTCCAGCCCAGACGCTAATACAAACTCCCCACAAGGCAGTACTCAAGCTCCAATCTGGGCTTCTGAGGGGTAAAGAGAGTTCACTATGTCCAGACCACCCCAACCCTACCATGCTGCTCTCCATGTCATCAAGGCCACCCCAACCCTACCACACTGCTCTCCAGTGGTATTCCTGCTGTGGTCATACTGCCAAGCACATAAACCCAGATTATCACTCCTGTAAAGGATCTGTCTATCACTTAGCGGGGGGGGGGGGGGGGACGGGACAGGACAGGGGGGATGACACACGACACACCAGTCCCAGGCCCTGGAATTTCCCAAACCAAAACATCTCTCTCTGTGCCTGGCCACCACCCTTCTGGATGGACATCTCTCCTGTGAGACACTAAGTTCCTTCAACTTTGAAAGCCACAGGTTAAACTTCTGATGCATTTAAAAGAAATTTCAGCTGTACGTAACAAAGACCTGCAGCTTCACAAACAGTCCTCGTTTTCTGCTCTATCATACAGACAAAACTGCCCACTTTATTTGGCATTTGTTAAGTTTAGAATAAAAATGAATTTTAAAAAATAATATAAGCCCCTTGTATTTGTACCTCCAGAATTTAGCCCAGTGCCTGGCTTATGGTGGGTATTTAGTAAAGAAGCAAAAGACAGCCCCTGCCCTGAAAGAACTTCTGATGGAATGATTTTGGCAGAGGAGAAAAATGAGGTCCAGAGAGCAGCAAGTTCCTTGCCCCAAGGTCTTGGGGGTCAGAAGGGCTGAGCTAGAATTCAAACCCTAGGCCTCTAATCAACATGTCCTCTTTCCCAGCAGCCATCCTCTAGCCCCAAGAAAAAGTCAGAGTATTTTCTTATCAGTCTGGGGGGGTTTATCTGCCCAGTAAAAGGTGAGCTCCTTCAGGGCAGAGGCCATTCCATTCTGACCTTTGTACCCTTAGCACCGGAGGCTTCCTCCCTCCCTCCTCCAAGAGGACCTAGAAATTCTGAAATACTGGTGGCAGGTCCATTTAGCTAAGAGATAAGAGCTAGCTGGGGGCCTGCCCTCCCATGGCCTAGACTAGGTCCTGGCCCCTTGAGCAGGGGGCTGGCCTGGCTAGACTCACATTCCTCTTGCTTTCCCTTTGCAAATCTGCCCTGACTGCAATTCCCTGTGTGGGCTACACACTCTACTATTACAAAAGAAAAGTATCTAGTCAAACGGCTTACCTTTTCCATGCGTGCAGCACTGATCTAGATGGAGGCTCTTTTGGTAGTAGCACTGAAGCAAGAGGAAGTGAGGGTTTGGAGGGTTTTGTTTTTCATTTTTTCAAACCCAGAAAGAGCGCCCCAAATTCAAAGTCTGTGGTCTCTCTGCTCTAACCACACTGGCTAATCCTGGCACTGGGCTAAACCTGCACCGGGCTAGCCCCATACTAGGCTAACCCTGTCCTCCCAGAATTGACATCCCCAGGCACTTCCAATACTGAAATCAATTTTCTTAAGGTCATTTCTGTAAAATGAAGGAATTGGACTAAAGCAGGCCTTTTCAGACCCTCCTGGGTCATAGACACCTCTACCCCCCATCATTTGGGCAGTCTGGTGACGATTAGGGACTCCTCAAAATGGTTCCATTTTAAGTCCATAATTGAAGGAAATGCTTGGTTCAGTTAGAGGTTAGTGAAAATAAAGTTGTATTTTTTTTTCCCATCCAAGTTCATGGATCCCTTAAAATCTATCCAGTCTGTGGAGCCCAGATTGAGATCCCTCGGATGCCAAAGGAGCCCTCCTGGGCAGTATTCTGTGGTCCAAGGGCACATGTAGGGGCACAATCCATGTCTGGGGGAAGTCAAAGTGTATTTCAACGGCCCATCAAGAGCCTTGGCCAACAGTCAGTTTCTAGGGCACAACCTTCCCCAAGCCCACTCTGTCCAGAATCCCAGCAGGACCGGCCACCACGCTGACCAGAAAATGACTGCTTCATGATTTCCCTTTGCTGGAGTTCCTAAAACACACCTCTCTCTTTCTCTCCCTCCCTGCTTAAAGAGTTTATGCTTAAGAGCTCTAGCAGGGGGCATTCACTCCCAGACCCCCATTTAACCAAACCACACAATAGCAAACAGGCTTTAAATGACTGTGTAGGAGAAATCAGCAGCCTGTTGTTTGTAAGGACCCCTTCTTCTCAAGCTGAATGCTGCTCCAATCAACGGGTCTTTTACCCTCCCAGCCCCAAAGTGGGGGTGTAATTATCTCTATTATCCAAGGCTGGACTTGACGCACAGGAAAATGGCTCGAGAGATTTGGCAAAATGGATTTCAGGATTATAGAATTTAGGAGCAGGAGTGGCCTTAGAGGGCATTTCCTCCTACTCCCTCATTTTACAGAGGAGAGAATCAAGGGCCCTAGGCAGTGACAAACCGTAGCGGAGCTAAAACTCTCTTCTCCAGCCTGAGGTTTGGGGTGCTTCTGGGGTTCTCAAGGGGCAGCTCAAGGTGGTGCAGAAGCCCAGAGACCAGGTGTGAATTACCCAAAGTTACAAAATCGTGGGAGTTGGGATCCAGACCCAGATCAGTGTAGAGTTCGTTCTCCCATTTCATGATCTATTTAACCTGTCTACCCCTTACTAAGATCACAGCATTTAGAGCTAGAAGAGATCTCAGATCACCTAAGCACAACTCTCTAATTTTACAGATAAGGACACTGAGATCTCGAGAAGCAAGGCACTTTAATTCACCACGCTCCAGCCACAGGCAGCCTTGGCTAAGACTGAGCTGCAGGGGCGGAAGTGCTCCTGGGAGCATCTGGGAGTTAACTACCCCCGTGCAATCACAGGTCCCCTTCTAGCTTTCACGTCCTTGGAGGACAGTGCAGCTGTTTTCAGAGATCAGCTGTCCGGCTGGAGAGAAAGACATGACTTTTCTAGGAGAGATACTGGGAACCTGAGCTCTGCCTTCTGCTGGTATCTGCTTAGGGAGAACAGACAAAGGCCTAGAAAAATCACGACTCAGAAAAGGGATAATGAAGCTGCCTTTAAAATGGGAGTAAGGGGTAGGAGGAGACATAGTGTAGGGATAGCCTAGTCCCACCTGGAAATAGGAAACAGGCAGGTTTGGTTGGGGTTTCGACTCTGTAAGGTCAGGATATAACGCCCTCTTTCCTCCTCAAGAGGTATGAGGAGATGGGGCGCCCTGTGCTCCAGGACCCAAGGCCCACAGGGTTGGGCTGTGAAGGCACCACAAGGCTGAGGTAGGAAAGGGCTACAGATAAGGGTACTGAAACCATCGGGGTCTTGGCCATAGGGTCTTTGGTGGGGGGGGTACAGGGCAGCACGAGGGCCTTTGAGTTCAAGCACCATGTGGGTGTGGAGGAAAGGGCTTCCCTCTAAGCACGCTGTTTTTTCAGGCAGGAATGAGACAAAAGGGAGAGCCTGAGCACTACGTGGGGCCTGGGGAAAGGGGCTTACCCTGTGGGCTCTCTGGGGTAGGAAAGAAAAAGGGGGCTTAAAGCACCACGTGACTTCCCTCCTGGGGAAGGGAGTTAGGGATGGGGGGTGTGTGTTATAGGTGTGACCTCCCTCCTTGGGAAAGAGGATGTGGGGCTCAGATCACCATGTGGCCTCCTGTTTGAAAAGGGGGGCAAGGGAGCCGTAGCCCCATGTGGCCTCCTTACTTGGTAAAGGGGATCACAGGCACAGGGTATCACGTGGCCTCCCTTCTGGAGAAAGAGGCAGAGGGGCTCAGGACACCACATGGCCTTCCTCTTTGAGAAAGGGGCCAAGGAGATGCCACTCCCCGGCCCCACATGCGTGTGCTCCTCCCTGGTTAGGCTTCTCATGAAGCTAACCGCCTTCCTCCCAACTCTTGTACCTCTTCCCCCGCGCCGTCCCCCCCCCCCACTCCCCACCCCCGCTCTGGCTCCTCAGGAGAGCTGAAGCCCATGTAAGGTCGTTGAAAGGGAAGCGGTTCACTTGGAGTGTAGGGATGGCAGGAGGGAGGCCGGAGGGGCCTGGGACAGGAGGGCTGAGCCCAATTACTCACCAGTGAGACCCCGCGCGGGGAAGGGGTGCCCCCTGGACGCCCCCCCACTCCCGCCCCAGAGCCTGCCCCTCAAAAGCGTCCAGTGCCTTGGAGATGGAGTGGCCATGCGCCCAGGCGCGCCAGGGTGCCCAGTGCAGCCAGCTGCACGCATCTGGCCCAGAGGCTGTAGAGGCGCCCGGGCGGGGCCAAGCAGATTCCCCCCCCCAGTTCCGCCTCCCAAGGGCCCCCGCCCCTCGGCCGGTGGCCCAACTTCCCCGCCCTGGTCCCCGGGACTTTGTGCTGACTTTCCAAAGCTCTGGCCAGCCCCAGTCCCGAGCTGAGCTCGCGAAACTGACTCTCGCTTGCCCCCTGCTGTCCCCGGCCTTCAATGACACCGCTGATCCGCCTGGCCGCCACCCTTCTAGCTGCTCTCGTTGGCTAAGAGGGGCTGGCCAGGGCTGACCGAGGCCTGGCATAGGTGTGGCCCCCATCTACACCAAAGGAGCCCTGTGGCTCTGGGGAGCTCCGATCCTAGCATTTGGAGCCCGAAGGGACCATAGAGAACAGCCGGCCCAAACCCTTCTGGTGGCAGAGGGGGAAATGATTGATCCAGGGTAGCCCATCCTGTAAGGGGCTGAGCCGGGCCTCCCGGCTCCAGAGATATTTCCCGAGGCTTGAATCAGGGTTGGCCTGAGGCCAAATGGTAACGTGTGTGAAGCTGTGGGAGCGAGCTCCCCATTTCTAGGGCCAGCCTGGCCTTGCGATTTCGCGCCCACTTCTCTCAAAACTTCTCCCAGGAAAGAGGTTGACGTCAGTCTTCACTACCGGGATGGGAATGGGTAGCCAGATTTCTGGTGCGGCCGAATTCTCAGCCTTTTATCTGGACGTGCAATCAAAAACCCTGTTCTCCCAAAGCAATTTCAATTCAAACAATTCAGTTAAAGGCAACAAGCATTTTAGCAAGGGTCTATTATGTGTAAGGCTCTGTAAATAACAAATACAAATTAAATTAAGTAAAAGAGCCTACTTCTGCTGCTGTGGGACCGGCCTCACTTCTCTGGGGCTCAGTTTCCTCATCTGTAAAAAAAAGGGAGATTTGGGCTGGATTACTCCTGAGACCCTGTCCCTAAATTTCTGATCCTACACTTTGAAGAAGGGAAGGAAAACTAACACCTGAGAAATTAAAATGGGGTTTAAGGCATCAGAAAGCAGGTGGGAGGCTGGGAAGGCTTGTCTTAGTAGAGAAGCTGACAGGCTTTCCCCCCCAATCATGTCTCTCTTACTCTCCTTTCCAGCTGCCAGGTTAGTCACCACCATGTGCCTGCCCAAGGTTCTAGGAACTTCTTTTCGATCAAGGTTTTTAAAAATGTATTTTTTGATGCTCATATTTCAATGTAATTGGTTTTCTTTGTAATCCTTTGTATTTTATTTTATACACTTAGAAACATAATTCTGAGAGGGGCTCTATGGGCTTCACCAGATTGCCAAAGGGAGTCATCACAACACATCGTCATCATCGTCATCATCATCATCACTAGCATTTATATACTGCTTACTATGTGCCCAGCACTATCCTAAGTGCTTTGCAAATACTGTCTCATATGATCCTCATAGCAACCCTGGGAGGTAGGTGCTATTATGATTCCCATTTTACAGTTGGGGAAACTGAGGCAAATAGAGGTTTTTTAAGTGACTAAGCCCAAGGTGACACAGCCTGTTGGTATGTAAAGCTGGGTAGGGAACCCATGCATTAGGGAAACTGCAGTCAGATGCAGACTTATTTGCTCTGTACTGTTTGGTGCAAATGTTAATGTAACCACAGAAGGTTGTTGGGTATCGTCAATGATAACCAATAATATGGTTGATGAAAAGGATCCCTTTGCTGTGGCTGGTATTGGCACTTGGGTCATGAGCTGTTTTCCAGGTGTAGAGGCCTATTGGGAAGCCTGCCTTCTTGGGAAAAGCCAGGGAAGCATTGCCTAGTCAAGTATGACTTTCCTTGTTCATCAGAATCCAGTTCAATACAAGAACATTGTGTCAAGCCCTGGGCTTGGTGCTGGGAGAGAAAGACAATAAACAAAAGTCTTTTGCTCTCAAGAGGCTTCCTTTCTACCGGGGTATCCCCAACTGATAGAAATAATCTCAGCCTTGCAGTGCCTGCTGGCCTCACAATATCTTCAGGTAGTCCTAGACTACCCTGGCAGTCCCAGGAAGGCAATATTTCCTCCCTCCTAGCTCCAGAAATACACTGACCTTCCCCAAGATCAGAGCTTGGAGCAGAAGGGGTGGAGAGGATCATCTTGTCTAATCCCATTGGAAGAAGAAGAAACTGAGGTTCCTAGAGGTCTAGGAATTTGCCCAGTGTAAGTGACAGAGTCAAGATTTGAACCTAGGGCCTCTGACTCCAAATAATACAGCTTTCTACTGCCTAATTCTTTTATATGGCACTAATTTCCTGTATATTCTGTGTATCCT